ACAGAAACACTAACTTGAAAGGATATTCACACCCCATGTTCACTGCAGCATGATTTACAATAGCCAATATGTGGAAGCGACGTTAAGTACCCAGTGACAGATGAACGCAAAAGGAAAACGTGTTCACGTGCACAACGAAACATCTGCAGCCGTAGAAAAGGGAAACTTGCCATTTGTGACATGGATGGACCTCCAGGGAATCGAACTGAGTGAAATAAGTGAGACAGAGAAAGACAGTTACCAAATGATCTCACTTAGATGTGGAATCTAAAAGAGCAAAAACAAAATAATCAAAACCCAAACTCATAGGTACAGAGAACAGATTGGTGGTTGCCAGAGGCAGGGTATGTGGAGTGAGCAAAATGGGTGAAGGGGGTTAAAAGGTTATAAAGACTTACATTTATAAAGTAAGTCCTGGGGCTATAATGTCCAGCATGGTGACTACAGTTAATATCACTGTATTGCACAACTGAAAGCAGCTAAGAGAGCAGACAAGATTTCTCATCACAAAAATTCTGACAGATGTTAACTAGACTTATTGTAGTGATCATTTCACAATATATAAAAACATTGAACCATGATGTACAAGTGAAACTCATACAAAGTTATATGCAAATTACACCTTAAAAATGAAAAAAACCTCAATCTAAACCTCGCACTTGATACAAAAATTAACTCAAAATGAATCATAAGCTTAAATGTAAACCATGAAACAATATCTTTTAGAAGAAAACATAGAAAAATACTCAAGACCTAAGGTTTTGTGAAGAATTCTTAAACATGGCTTTAAAGGCATAGTCTATAAAAGAAAAAAAATCAACAACCTGGACTCCATCAAAATTCAGAACTTCTTCTTTGGAGAAGATTATTTTTAAGATGATGAAAGGACAAGCTACACAGAGTAGCTCCTCTGAGCCTCCGTGTCCAGAGTTTTTACTGGGGCTCCATTAGAGGCATGATGGAGGGACGGATAGATGAGTGGATGGGTGGCCGGCCGGCCCATGGAGCAATCTCGATCTCCACATCAGCTGACACTGCATGACCCAAACTCCCCGCCCTAAAATCACACTGTCCTCCATCTTATGACAATTGGGCGAGGCTGGTCCCCACCCTAAGACCCCGGTGTGGTTAGCCTCCAACCTAAACAAGGGCACTCCTATCAGGTATGTCGTAGGTCACCTCCCAGGAGCCAAGGGCAAAAAGTGAGAACTGGCCTGGACAAGGCCCAGGGCTCTACCGCAGACGTTCACCCTTGTAAAGCGCGCACTTCGGTTGTTTACGTTATGCTCCGACGTGCAACCACAAACACTGTAAAACTCTAGAACACCTTCATCAGCCCCCCAAAAGCCCGCACGCGTGCGCAGTCCCTCCCCACGGCCCCTCCTCTCAGACCTTGGAAAACACCGATCTACATCCATCCCTGTGGATCTGACTGTTGTAGACGCTTCATACAAAATGGAATCATACAGTATGTGGCCCTTTGTGTCTGGCTGTTAGCATAACGTTTTCTTTTTTATTGAGGTATAGCTGACTTACACTGTTGTATTAGCTTTAGGTGTGTAACACAGTGATTTCAAACTTTTATAGTCCATTTATAGTTATTGTAAAGCAGTGGCCGCATTCCCTGTGCTGTACAATATATCCTTGTGGCTTATTTATATGTAGTAGTTTGTACCTTTTAGTCCCCTCCCCGTCCCACTGGCAGCCACTAGTCTGTTCTCTGTATCTGTCTGTTCCTTTTCTGGTATATTTACTAGTTTATTTTTTAGATTCCACA